TATTTACAAGTGAAAAGAAATAGTACTACTTCCGCCGTGACAGTTTTTACACCATTAATTTTTTTTTTTTTTATACCACGTCGGTGGCAATCAGGCATGCGGCCCGCCTGATGGTAAGCGGTTACCGCAGCCTATGGACGCCTGCAACACCTTGGGCATCACATGCGCGTTGCCGACCCTTTAAAAACCTATTTACTCCCCTTTTGAAGGACCCCATACTGTAGCCCTCTGGGAAAACCTCGGCAGGGAGTTCATTCCACAGCGAGATGGTCCGTGGGAGAAAGTTCCTCTGAAACCGAACTGTACGGGACCATTTGGGCTGCAATGTGTGAGCATGAACTCTCTGTCGATGGCGAGCGGTGCGGTGATAGAAAGTGGCCGTGGGCATCATTTCGAACAATTCTTCGGAACACAACCCATTGTACAAACGATAGAGCACACATAGGGACGCAAAATCTCTTCTTAGACTTAGGGGCTCTATATCGGTTGTGAGTATTGGATCGTCGACAATTCTCACAGCTCTCCTCTGAACCGAGTCAAAAGGCCCAAGCTGGTATGCCGGTGCTCCCGCCCAGAGATGCGAGCAGTACTCCATATGGGGACGGACTTGCGATTTATATAAAAGCAGTCTTTGTCCCGGCGTGAAGTACCATAGTATTTAACATAACATTTAGCCATTTTTGGGAGATGCTTTGTTGACAAGTAAGTGCTTGAGACTGACACAAAAAACAAACGACCGAGGCTAAAATTACCTGGTTACTGACAAGACCAATAAAGGTACGTCCGCTTATATGTCTAGTCCAGTGGTTAATTCGTTCATGCTATTGGTATATCTTCATATGCATTTAACAAAAAGTTGTTATTTTGACAAATTACAAACAAACTCTTAAATTTTATTCATGTATATGTACCTACTCATGTTTATAGATTGGTCAAATTCATCAAGGTCAAGATCAAGCGGGTTAACATTTTTAACGGGGTAAGCATTTTTCTGTCGATAGTTGCACTTGGGTTATGTTTTGATTTTCTGGTTATTTTAAAATTGAACAATATTTATATAAGTATTGTTTATTTTTTATAATTATTTTATTTTCAACCGACTTCAAAAAGGAGGAGGTTCTCAATTCGACTGTATTTTTTTTAATAATAAAATGCTTATATAACTCTGTTGGTACTTTTACGCATATGGCTGTTTTTTGCATAACTGGGTCTAATTAGACTAGTGATGCAGGCAAGATCGAACAAGGATCGCGACTTCCTCATGTTTATAACGTTAATGTCCGGCATAAAAAGAGAGAAAAATAAGACAGTCATCAAAGACATCTTTGTCACATACAAGCTCATGCTATAAAATCCAACACGAAACTAAGCCGAGTTTGTTCAAACGCGTCGGAACACGATCAAACGGCGCATCAAACACGACAAAAATATGATTTTTTATCAAACGTCCTTCAAACTCGTATATGTTTGACAAACCGTTCAAAATACCTTTTTAAACGATCAAAATGGTTTGAGTCAAACCGAAATCTACGTGCTTGAGTCAAACCGTTGGACCGTCTCGGGGGACCTTTAAACTTTATTAATTTCAAACCTTTTTTTTGTTACACGTAGAACATGATAAATTATTCAGATAGTCGATTACATTTCTTACAATAATATTACAACTAGCGACTCACCCTCACTTCGCTCGGGTTCGTCCCTAAGTTGCTTCCCTATACAAATTTTCTTCTCCATTTTAACCCCCATAATGGATGATTTTCGGGATAAAAACTATCCTATGTCCTTCCCAGGATCTCAAATCAAATGTTCTTTTCAAATTTCATCTAAATCGGTACAGTATTTTCGTAGCCTATTCGGTACAAACAAACCAATCTTTCCTCTTTATAATATTAGTATAGACAATATTAGTAGGTATAGATTACATTAATATTATTTTCAGTTATAAGTACCTGGGCGGCCGTTTTTCGTAAAATATAGGATTATTCGTAATTCGACGTATTCCCGTTAGGAGGTGATAGGGGTGATTATTTGCGATAATTTTAACCCCCTTATGCATTATGCAAAAGTGGACCATTTTTGAGTAAGCATGTTTTTTAGCTTTTTTCAAAATAAGTCAAAAAAGCAACATCAAAAATTTATTATTTATATCGTTTTGATAGAAGGGACACTAAACTACACAACAGTATATTGCTACGTACCAAAGCATTGTATAGAGTTTTAAAACACATACCTATAGATTTAAATACTCTTGCATACGGTAGATAAAATGATCATCTTTTAAAGTACAGACAGTTTTATTTATATGGCTTTTAAATTTCATTTGAGAATACATTATAACACCAAGATCCCTAACTTAATTTACTTCTTTTAGTTTTGTTACATTAATATAATAATTTGATAACATTTCGATATAATTCCATTCGATTATGGATATATCATTCATAAAGATTATTGTAGCATTTTTTGGTCTTCGTCAATTTGTACACTTCTGAATATTTTTAAATCATTGGCTTATAAGGTAAATTCTAAATTTACCATTATATATTTATTAATATCATCAATAAACATTAAAAATAACGATAAGCTCAAGTGTGAACCTTGAGGTACCCCAGATGTTGGTGTTATGATTTTTGATTTAAAGCCATTTAGGACTACATTCTGAGATCTATTAGTTAAATATAAATTTATCCAGGTTGAAAGATTTCTGTGTTAGCTAAAATAATATTGTAATTAAAAAATATATAATTCATGATCAACTGTATCGAATGCTTTGCTAAAATCGCTGTATATGGCATCGATTTCATTGGCTGAACTATCTTACTTAAGGTACCTTCCACAAATGCAACAAGGTTTGTTACTGTAGATCTCATTTTGGGAGAGCCATGTTCGTGATCAGATAGCATTTATTTTATGTGCCAATATATAATAGGATAAATTAATGATTAAAAAACTTTAGCTGCACTACTTAACAAACTTATTGCCTCGGGCACGGATCTATTAAAATCGGTCGAGCGGTTTTTTAAAAATCAACAATTAATTTTTTTTTTAAATAAATTGCTTTATCGAATATGTTATTAAAAACATTCTTCTTACAAATTACCTGCTTATTACGTCTACACTAAAAATGAAAAAATAAAAACTTAAAATAAACCGACTCCCAGGCACTAAAATGTAAATAACTAAACGGGTGTTATCATTTAGAATAGCTACGGAACCAGATGTTTTCGAAGTCTGTGCCATCTACAATATTTTAAGATAAGAATATCTAATAGGTAAATATGATTAGGTATAAACTCTAATTATAGTTAAAATATTATACATCAATTTGTGATGTATTTTACGTATCGAAATATTTATATTAGATTTGCTTTGCATCGGCTGGCACCAACTACGAAAATATCTGATTAGGTATCTATTCTAACGTACCACTGAGCTTAGACCAAGATGTTGCAAATACTTTTGAGAATTATTTTTCGGAAATCTCAATGAAAGTCACATCTTCTTTAAAATCATCTTTCCTAGACGCGATTAACCTCTTACAAAAACATACCTACACATCACTGTTATCACCAGTTTAAATTTTTGTATGTAGAAACCATTAACCTTAAGGGGTGCATTTGTGGCGTGTGTCTGTTAAATTACTCAACTCAATAATAAGCATTGCGCCACATTTATCCCTTATTTTCAATAAATGTGAACATTATCAGACTTTCCCTGATCTTATGAAATTTAGTAAGATAATACTTCTTTTTAATTGCGGAGATAAAAATGATGCTGGCTGTTATAGACCTATTTCTATATTGCCATGTATGAGTACAACTTTTGAAAAACTTATTCTAAACCAATTATTAGTTCATTTTAATATTAATAGTATCTTCCACAGTGACAGTATGGTTTTACCAAAGGTAGATCTAGAGTTGCTCTTCTTAAACACATTTACAACGCTTGGGAAAAATCACAAAATTTAGTTGGTGTTTTTTTGTGATTTATCTAAGGCCTTTGATTGCGTAGAATGAAACCCTCCTGCTTAAACTAAGTCAATATATGGCCATTTGGGAAGACTAAATCGTAAGTGTCTAACAAAACCATGACTAAAGCATTCGATACTTGGGGAACCTGAAATCAAAAAAGTCCGCGAAACTATCCGAAAACATAATTTTATTTAACATGTTGAACATTTGTGTAAATCTAAGTAAATTAAAGATTTTACATATATATTATTACCTTACAGGTAACAGTTTCAATTAATTTAATATACCGAGTCTTTTACTTCGTTTTCTGATGTTGATCTATTTTTGGCTAGCGTTCTGAAACTTTTTTTAAGATTAGAGTTCTACCAATACAGAAAACAGACATATAGGTTCGTATGTCTGTTTTTCTCTTTCAATACCGTGATTCAATGTGTTTTCACTACCAAAATTTGAAGAACTTCTGCTCGGACACTCATCGTCGTGTGGATCTCTTTGTTTGTTCTTTTAATTTAGTGCTCTGGTATGGTGATTGGTAGCGTATTTGTTCCACTTCGAAAAAATAATTCTTCATCTAACCATTCACTGACTTTCTTGACTTAACTGGGCCTCATAGTAAATCTTCAAGGCGGGCAAGGATGATACAAGCTCGTAAACCAAAATATACTTTAGTCAAAATAATTCATAGTTTTACATCTTGAAATCTAACATTTTTACTTAGTCTGTGAGGAAGATCGTACGAGATCGGTATGACATTTTGTTACGAAGAACTGACTGTTAAAATCTTAAAGTAATATAATAAATTTTTTCTTTATTTTTTTGTTATTTTATTTGCTTCAATTTGTATACATGTTATACATAATACAAAGGATAATAATATAAACTATAGTAAATAAACCACCATATTCAAAAATACAATGTATTTCAAGAGATTAATGGCTCTAACAGTCTCAAATATAGCATTTTTGTAACTGGAAGACTTATTTTTATGTTACAAAAAACACATTACTTAAAAATTACTGGCAAATCTTATATAAATAGTCTCACTAAAATCCACATAAATGCTAATAATCCTAAAGCAATGACAGATACTAAGAAATAATGAGCCAATTTTAATTTTAATTGTTTCTTTCTGGCCTGAGGGAGCGTTTCTAAAGGATCTTTTACCAAATACAAACGCATCCCTAACAGATAATCCTTGCAGTATTCCTCCCATTTTAAGCTTTCGATGTCAAAATTAAATGTATGTTTGTCCGCGTCATCTAACTCCTTTAGTAGGCTTACTGTGTTTTTGTTATGAAACTTCCATTCCCGTAAGGTAAAATAGCTTATAACTTCTAAATACTTTCTGATTTTTTTGTAAGCTGGTCTTAATCTGTAAAATAATTATATTAGGATTAGAGTAAGATGTAAATCAACAACAAAAACGTACATATCTACTATATCTTCTCGTATCATAGGTATGTATGTATCAGCCCTTTTTAACGTCCCACTGCTGGGGGTGGGCCTCCCTTCAGTACGAGGGGAATCAGGCCATAGTCCACCACGCTGGCCAAGTGCGGGCTGGCGGACATCACATGTCTTTTGAAAACTTGCTAGGTTCTCTCAGACATGCAGGTTTCCTCACGATGTTTTCCTTCACCATTAAGAAAGTGGTAATCATGTTGGAAACGATTCGCACATGAGAATATCAGAGGTGCGAGACCCGTGATTTGAACTCGCTTCACTAGGTTTCCCAAGCGAAAGCGTTACCACTGAGTTACCACTGCCTTCATATGCATATCATAGGTACTATAATATTACTAGGGAGTTACCCTCGCTTGTTCATCCCTGGATGCGTTTTTACTTATAATAAATTGAAAATTATAGCTTATCTTTCGTGAGTAGCTTTGTTTTGAAGAAATGCCTGGTTTTTCTCTATGAAAATTTATCATGGGAAGGCAATTACTTACAAAGGTTTTTTTCCAATCAGAATAGCGATAGTATCCACTATGAGCGCCGGGATCGAATGTAATAATAAAAAGTATAAATTAAATAAGAATTTTGACGAAGTTATCCAAAATATGTTCATCCAGATCGCTTGCATCGTCGGCACTTGCGCTCCATATGCGACTGCGTAATTTATGAATGTACCTATAAACGAATAAAACAATTATGATAAATGTAAATATTATAACTAGATATTTGTATAACACGAAATTTATATTTAACTACTCTAACGTTACGTCATAAATTCAAATCTCCTATAGGGCCTTAAATATTTCATAGGGCATGCTAGATTTGTATTCCCCAGGCTCCTTTATACAAAGTGCTTAGATTTTTTTTAAGATGTTCCAAGTAACTTGAAGGTAAACAAAACAACCAAACTAAAAGAGATAGAGAACAGTATTTTTGTAGAAAATGAGCAAGTCTAGTTTTATAATCAACTCAATTTAGATGAAATCTTCATGATAAATCAAAACTTAAAAAACCGACTTCCAGGCACTAAAATGTAAAAAATAACAAAACGGGGGTTTTCATGTAGAATAGATACTATTTTCGAAGCTGGTGGCAGACGACATTATTTCAAGATATGAATATCTAATAGGTAAATATGTATTTAACGTATCGAAATATCGATTTGTTTTGCATCGGCTGGCACCGACTTAGAAAATATCTGATTAGGAATCTCTTTTAAATGAAAACCGCCGTTTAGCTATTTTTTACATTTTAGTGCCTGGAAGTCGGTTTTTTTTTAAGTTTTTATTACTAATCACTTGCCTCGGTGGTCTTAGATCTGGAGGTTCTGGGTTTGAGTCCCAGGTCGGGCTAAGTTCAGTTATTGAGTATTTCTGTCAAGAAAATCTCAGTAACAATTCGCTATTGGGAAGTTGACGGTGTTTCTCCCCACTTAAAATCTTACCCATAATCAAAGGATTTTGTTCAGATGATACATAATTGTATATAAGGGGCGAATTAGCGAGGTCAGAATGTTCATCATTTGCAGGATAGTCTTTGGCAGTTTTCCAGGCCGCTGCTATAACTCCATTTACTACGTAGTCCCCTGGGACCAAATCGGTTTTCACTTGTAAGTTGTAGTTTAACACGTGTATGAGGCCCACACCTACCCCTGCTATTACCTGAAATGGTAAGAACATACATATATACACACATGATGATTTTACGTGATCTTCAAGACACGGGGGCTAATAAGCACTGTCAGCAAGTTATTACTTTTGTTAGAAGAAACTAATATCAATTTTGGGCTTACTTAGGACTTATACCTATGAGTTTCGCAATCGTGTGTGATACCTTCCTGAATTATTTGTCATAACAAAATTTAGATAAAAGCAATCCGCTTTGATGATGATGTAAGATTGTTTGTATATATTATTATGTACGTGTATTGTATACTTACACCGGTAGGTCCATACATATTGTCGATCCATCCTGGTAAAGGTTCACACGCCGTCGATATCACTGTAAGGAAGATATTAAAATATACACTATTATTTATGAATAATCTAGCCATCTTGCAGAGCCTGTCTGGTAATAAATAGTGTAGTGTATCTATTAAAATATTAATTACTAGCATTGCCCGCGGCTCCGCCCGCGTTCAGATGACCAAAAACCAAATTCTTAATTCTTAGGTTTTACATATTAGTATAATCTTACATTACAATGCGGGTAATGCTAGTACTGAATATAATGTGTAAGCTATTGTCGGCAGTCCTGCTCGCGTAGTCTACATAAGAATGTCAAATAAATATATTTACCTATGGAAGGTCTAAATATGGCTACCGGAAGTCCCTGAGAATGTTTCTGGATGATGTCCTCTGCTGCCAATTTACTATAAGTGTATGTGTTGGGAAGGTTGTCTAGTAATCTACGAAAAAAACATATTTTGATAGTTTCCGATTTTTTTTATACTAGCCTTACTTACTACCTATATGCTACTATGATGTATAATATACATTACTGTAGAGTTTCAACGGAATCCGTTCATAGCTTTTGCAGAAAACGTAACAAACATCCATCCTCAAAAACTTTCATTTATAATATTAGGAGATTGGTTCCCCATTGTTTAATAAAACCGCAGCAAAATCCGAAAAAATAGTTTCATTTAAAATGTCAAATATTGCGTAAATCTAAGAAAGTATTAAATTGATTAATTTTTGCTTAAACAAAAATCTATTAGAATATGATTACCTAGAACTATTTTCAGTACAAATATTATTGCTAATATAATGAAATCATTTTAAGACTTTCTAACAGTGGCCGATAAAGTAATAGAACGATCATTCTTTTTTCGAATTCTACTTATTATGTGTTTAATAGTAATCAATCCTAAGGTTCCACTGCTGGGCACGGGACTTCCACAACACGAGGAGGATCATTACATAGTCCACTACGCTGGCGAAGTGCGAGTGGACTGAGTACTTCATTAGAAACCTGGCTAGGTTCTCTCAGACATGCAGGTTTCCTCACGAAGTTTTCCTTTAGTAAGACAAGTGATAATCATGTTGGAATTGATTCGAATGATGAACGCGTTACCACTGGGTTACCACTGCATCATAGGTACTATTATCGAAATAAAAATAATCCATAGCACTTAGCGCCATAATTCTTAGAATTCTATGAATTTCAGAGATAACCACTTTCATGCAAACTTACAAATATATTTACAAACTATTCATGTGTAAGGAAATATTATAAAGAGAACACTCTTAGGAATATTATAAAGAGAACACTCTTTATAATATTTCCTTACACATGAATAAATTTAGAAATGGTCGAATTAATACTCATACTCACCCTGGCGTTATGTTTTTCAAAATATTCTCATCTATGTTCTCAACAAGGTCAATAAGCATGTCACCGGAGAGGTTGATGCCGTAGAACTTCTCGTCAATCTCATTTAAGTGGCAGTTACTAACAAAAATACAAGCTTTTATACCTTTGTATATATATTTATATATAGAAGATACTTAAACAGATAAAAAAATCGGCATTATAATGCCCTAGTGTCACGTTCTCGAGGTATTTGAACATAGAGGTCTATCTGCATATATTGATATGAAGAATAAATGAAATTTTATTCAAATAGACTTATAACAAGCACTTTTGAATCATCAATTTAAAGAGCGTCAGCGTAGTCAGTCCGTGGGGAAGCCACCGCCTTCTCGGAAAGCAGTTCTGCTGAGAAAAGCCAGCGATAAACTCAACAGTTGCTCTTTTAAATATCGAAGTTACATTAATAAACCTCATATTACAGATAGCCCACCTATGAGTCAATATAACTTTATTCCACACATTTCCATCGACAAGAAACTATAGAACAGTGTAAAACGCTTTGCTCAATAAAATATGCTTGTTTTATCTTTAAATTTTTGAAAAGTTTAACCTAGGACAGTTTGTGGAATCTTATTATATGCGTAGGCCCATGAAGGATTTATTCACCTTTTGGAGTTGAAATCTGAGCGTAACAAGCATATTTCTATTACTAATGATTATGGTGTGTCTATCACTGTTTTTTACATAATTATTTAAATTCTTACGAACGAGTAATATATTACACAGTATATATTGTGACGCAACCGTAAGAATACCAATTTTTCTTAGATCATAAATAGCCCGTACAACTCTTTTTTGAAGAATAAATATCGAATTAATTTCCGCGGCACTGCCCCAAAGAAGTATTCCATAAGATAGAATACTATGAATATAACTAAAATATACAAGCCGAGCACTGTTAATATCCGTTAGATTTTTAACTTTCCTAACTGCATAGGCGGCGGAGCTGAGTAAGAGAATGAGAGAGTGCAAGTGTTGAGAGATGGGAGTTCCTCTGGAGTTTGGAGTCTAGTGTTATACCTAAAAATACTGCTGATTCAGTTATTTCCAGCGTTTCATTATTCATAATCAGACTAAAATTCTGCTTTTTTACGTTAGACAAAGTAAATTCGACACATTTTGTTTTTTTAGAAGTTAATACTAGTAGGTTACTTAATTCAAACCAGCGAAGTATATGCGACAATGCACTGTTTACTTTGTCATAATCAGGTTCACTACGATCAACTTTAAAAATTAAGGGGGTATCATCAGCAAAGAGTACAATATCGCATAATTTACTTATGTAGAAAGGTAAATCATTAATGTATATTAAGAATAAAAAGGGGCCAAGAATAAATCCTTGTGGAACACCCATCTTCAAAAGAGATCCAGAAGATTTTATATTATTTGTATCAATCCTCTTAATTCTCTGATAGGGGTAGGAAGCAACAAAATCAAGCGCAGCACCCTGAATGCCATAGTGATTCAGTTTAAGCAAAATTGTTTAATGATGTAAACTATCAAAAGCTTGAGACAAATCGCAAAATACACCAATAGAATTCTACGATTTTTCCCATGCGTCGTAAATGAAGCGTAGCACGCGCATCAGTTGCCGATTTACCTTTGGTGAAGCCATATTGATCACTATGCATATGTTATAATAAAAGAAACTACTTAATTGGTTTAAACCATTTTTCAAATATTTTGCTTAGTGCAGGTAATATTGAAATGGGTCTATCAGGTTCAAATCTACCATCACTTTTAAAGAAAGGTACTATTTTACTGTTTCATTACATTGGGGAATGTACCGCTATCTACACATTTATTAAAAATAGAGGCTGAATATGGAGCAATATTTATTATAATATAACTTAGTAGTTTTACTGACATCCCCTATAAATTACCGATCTTTTTTGATTTAAGGTTTTAAAATATTTTCACGATATCCGTTAAAGAAACGTGTTTGAACGCGAATAAATTATTGTTATTTACTTTAATATTAGATTTTATTATTTTAACTGCCTCTGATGGAGATGATTTTAGCGATTGAGTTACCGTCAAACGTATTTCTAAGAAAAAAAGTTCTATACTATCTACCCATTTATAATCCCTAGTTATTCTTACTAATATTTAAGCTAATGGGTTCTTTAGCAGCTCTAGATTTCCCTGTAATGTAAATAGTGAACTGTTCACTACCTTTCTCTCCTTAACCGATTTTCCTTTTTTTAGTAGCTTTTTACGAGCTTTAGTATTATTTATAAAAAAATTGATAACAAGTTGTTTTTTTCTAACGATCTGTAAATTCTATTTATATGTCTATGTTTTCCTCAAATTTTCAACACTAGTTGATATAACAGTGCCTGAAGTTTTTATGTACATACTTGGAATATTTTATTAGCCGTTGGAGAGTTCCACCTATCCACCTTCTGGTATTACTATCAGATCAGGTCAACGATACCGAAACACTGCACTATCAATGGAAATAGGCACGCTTGCAAAGTTTCAAGTCAGTATGACAATTAGAAGTAGGTTAAACTCAAAAAGTCCTAGAAAAGAGTCCGCAAAAGCCTTCGATCAACAATACTACTAGATATCGGGTCGGCGTAAGAAATCCGTCTCGGTAAATTCAGCTCATTAGAAAAGTGAGCGTATATTTCGATTAGTTCTATTGAAACACTGCCAACGTAAACACGTTCACAATGCCGCAATATATGTTTAAAAGTTGCAAAAATACTGCGCGAAGAAGAAATTTTTCAGACAGAGTGTCTTATTTTCGGTAAGTACATATAGATTAAGTCAATATATTAAGATTTAACCTACGAAATAATATAAAAATGAAATTTTGAACAATTTTAAATCCGTTAACGTAATAATATTGGCCGACCTGGGCCAACGTAATAGCGTTGGTCCAGATCGGCCAATATTATTACGCGCCAATAAAAAGAAGCAAACAGAAACAAAACATAACGATTTAGCTCACAAAGCAAGGACGGGAAAAAGTGCTTTATGTTTTTTGATATAAGGTTGAATTGAAAAAACATCTAATTTACAAAATATGTACCAGTAAGCGGTAGAAATATGGACAAATGCACGTAGCTTGGAACATTCATGTGCTAGCTGTAACATCTCTCTCGTCCCTCGTACGTTGATCTCCACAGCTGTCTTTAACGTTTCATCGAAGCGAACTGTTGCGGCGCCGTGGAAAATAAAATCAACCTGGGAAATAAACGAGAAAAATAATATCTAATACTTTCTTAGATTTTTCCGAATATTTGGCATTTTAATTAACGCACTATCCATTCGTCCTTTAATAGTAGATTAAAACTAATTTATTATAAAGTCAGTATTAAGAGTCCTGTATACATAGGTATAAAATATCATGTCGAACCCCTATTACGAATTATATTAAGTGATCTAAGAATCAGATTATAGGCTTTCATATATAAAGTATAAGGAGCTTAATCAACAGGTTAACTTATACCTCATTTGTAAGCTTGCTTCGGTCCGCATCACTCATTCCCATATTGACTTGACCCATATCTCCTTCAAGAATATCAATTTTTTGTAAAAAATCTGGCATTTTGTTTCTTAATTTATCATATAGCTGAAAAATATGAAATAATATTTTTTATAAATTCATTTTGGTGCAGTTCATACTTTTAGAAAATTAGCGGTAAAAACGTACCACATCATCAAACTGCTCCTGCAGTCTTTTTTTTGTATCTTTATTTTTTTTTTGTCTAATCAAAACATACAGTTTTTTAATCTTCGGGCACGATCTGGAATAAACAAATATATTTTAATTCAATCTTCTAATATATAAAAATCTTGTGTCACAGTTTTCGTGTTTATACTCCTCCGAAACGGCTTGACCGATTTTCATGAAATTTTATATAATATATATTCAGTAGATCTGAGAATAGGTTTATAACTAATTTTTATACCCCTAAGGGTTAAGGGTGGCTCACCCCAAAAAAAAATTTCATTTTTTGGACAAATTATTTTTTGGTTATATTTTTATGGTGTGGCATAAAAAAAACTTCATATGACAAAACAACGTTTGTCGGGTCAGCTAGCTATTATATATTATATTTCATTTAATTATTTATTTATACGTACTATCCCATCAGAAAAAGTTGAGTACGCACTAAAAATTAATGAAGAATATTCACCTTAAAAGCTTTTCAATCAAAAGTTTTCCTAGAAATCCTGTACCGCCAGTCAAGAATATCGTCGAGCCAGAAAACATCTTCTGTATCTGCGATTCTTCTGAGTCTTCCATTATGTGTGGTTGGTCGTTTTTACGTCTGTTTATTCGTTTAAAGCCAATTCTAAAAACATAAAATTTCATATTATACACATCATAAAATTGTTATGGATTAAAAACTGTACCTCACGTACAAAATATACAGCGACTCACCCTCGGTTCGCTCAGGTTTGTCCCTGGCTTGCTTCCCCATACAAACTTTCATCCCCATTTTCACCCCCTTAAGGGATAATTTCCTGGATAAAAAGTATCGTATGTTCATCCCAGGGTCTCAAACTATCTTCTTACCAAATTTCATTTAAATCGGTTTAGTATGTAAGAAGACAAATAGAACAAATCCAGATTTTTTTCAATTTTTTTGTTTCTCTGTCTGTTTGTCTGTTTGTATGAGCTAATCTACGAAACTATAGGACCGATTTAAGTGAAATTTTGCATGGCGGTACCTTATATCCCAGATCAACATCTTAGATACTTTAATCCCAGAAAATTAAAGAGTTCCCGTGGGATAGTTAAAAAATTATAGTAACTTATACAGCTTAGTACACAACAACTTATGCACCTGATTTAGTAACATTTGGCATGCTGATACCTTATATTGCCGGTCAAACAAAAGGTTACTTTTCATCCCAAAAAAATGAACGGTTCCCGTGGGGAGTAATAGATCTCTATTAGTGCTTTTCTAAAGGTGAACACGAGGGAATCAAGGGTGAGCCGCTAGTATTATATATATATACATACAACTGCCTCGGTGGTGTAGTGGCTAGCATGTACGGCTGCACACCCGAAGGTCTTGGGTTTGAGTCCCGGGTCGGGCCAAGCTTATTAATTGAGTCTTTCTATATATTAGGCCTCAGTAACAGTCCGGAGTTGGAAAGTTGACGGTGTTTCACCCCCGTGCCTCGGAGAGCATTTAAAGCTGTCGGTCCTGCGCCTTAAATCTCACCGGTCGTGTCTCATGTCGTCCCACCGGAGTGAGAGAGTGACAGGAATAGAGATTGCACGTTGTGTCTGCGCGTACACTTGTGCACTATAATATCTCCTGCGCAGTTGGGTAGTCTCAATGAGATTGGCCGCCGTGGCCGGAATCGGTCAGGAGAACAACATCATATGTACATACATATAAATGATTGAATCTCCATACAAATTTCCACCCCCTTAAGCGATGATTTCCGGAATAAAAACTATCCTATCTTCCCAGGGTCTCAAACTGTCATCATACCAAATTTCATCTAAATCGGTCCAATGGATTAAGAGTGAAAAGGTAACAGGCACACATACAGACAGATAGACGGAGCTTTTAAGAATATTGTCGGCTGGCACCGACTTCGAAAATATCTGATTAGGTATCTATTTTAAATAAAAACCCCCCTTTAGTTATTTTTTACATTTTAGTGCCTGGAAGTCGTTTTTTTGTTATTTTTATAGAATATTCAAACGAGTCCGTGTCTTGTCTTATATTTCAAAATATGAAGGTAGTTATTGAATTTATTTACTTACCAACGACTCACCCTCGCTTCGATCGGGTTCATCCCTACTTACGATGTTACGTTTAGTATAGATTTCTAATAGATGAGATATTTGCCCGCAGAAAAAAATATTCTATATGTTGTTCCGAATAAACAGATATCATCATACCAAATTTCATCAAAATCCCTCCAGTTGTTTTCCCGTGAAGCGGTCACAGACAGACAGACAGACAAAAATTCTAAAAATATGGATTCGGCCTCTGCATCGATAATAATGTATGTCTATTTCAATAAGATTTTCCAAAAAAATATTTAATGTACAGATTCGACTCACAATTTTATTATATGTATAAATAACAACATACTGTAGGTATTACGTATTTAATTTTTAGAATAAGACTTAGAAAAAAATTATATTATAATATTAAAGAAAATAAAAAAAAAATTAAAAAAAAATTACCTTTACATTAATCTTTAAAATAGAAACAATATTAAACACACTGCGATATTATTTATCTGTCAACGACGGAGTGTCAACTACAATTAAAAGTTAGGTTATATTATAGTACCCATTTATAGTTTTCTTAATTTATTGAAATGAATTTGAAGCTTTCGTCTACAAGAAATTTGAATTTTAAATTTTAGTATTCAATGCAGTAGAATTGTTTGAATAACAAAAAATAGCTATAATGTTATGAGGTCATCTATATTATAATAATATTACGGATAATAAGAAAGTAAAGTTTGTCTGTTTATACACACTACTAATACAATTTTAATGAATTTGGACATTAAATTTTTGTCGCAAAAATAATATTTACTTTTAGGGGATGAAAAGCCACAAGTTATGTTAATATTTTTGTTAAACGAGAATCTAGCTTAAGTATACCCATAGAAGTAGAGACTGGACTGAGGCCTGAGCAATACTCTCATGAAATTGACCACTCTCAGAAAGAGAAAAAGCGACCGTGCGGCCAGTAGGTGTTTCATATTACAATTTGACTTTATAGATGGAATGATGACTATGGATGTAAAATATTATAACACAGTGCAATAGAAAAAAAATGGTTGTAAATGTCTATCTTCATTAATCGTATTTCAACTAACACAGAAGACTTCTGGCCGCAAATTCGTTATGTCTCTGTCACGCGTTTCCGCTATTTTTAGCTGACGGCTGGCAAATGACAACAAACTCTCAGTCACTCTCTATGGACTAAGATCATGTTGCAAGATTACTATGTTCATAGCGTATTTAATCAAAATCAATTTTTTATATACAATAATAAAAAAGACAATATGTTTTGACCGGGGTGCCTATTAAAATGTGCCCGCTAGTATGTTTAGTTAAATAAATAATAATTGACTTTTTTGGGAACAAAAACGATGCATTTGTTATTAAAATGAATTATACTTCACTTCATAGAAATATACGTAGAGATCTTGAAAAGTGATAGCTGCCGTTGCGCACTTGGCCGCAACCTCTTCGCTGCCAGGTGTAAGCAGGTCATATTTTGTTACGTTTATACATATACATATAATAAAATTGTAACTAAGTCGAATCTGTACATTAAATATTTTTTGGGAAATCTAATTGAAATAGACATTATTATCGATACAGAATCCGAATCTATAGTTTTTAGAATTTTTGTCTGTCTGTCTGTTACCGCATCACGAGAAAACCACTGGACAGATTTTGATGAAATTTGGTATAATGATAGCTGGTTATCCGGGTCGGGAGAGACGAAGGTGTTAGATGTCTCGAAGGTATAGTTGTTACAGGCAGCCCATAATTGCACCAAGTAATTTACAATATTTTTTAACCTAAAACATTTTTATAATTTTTATTAGTTTTATAATTGAATGTGGAATATTATGTAAGGGAAATGCGTGTAATACGATCCCTCGAGGTAGCATCAATCCAAATACGCAACAAACGTCATCCCCGCAACTCCTCCAGTTGCCTCTCCGAGTGTCATGGCGGTGTGAGCACTTACCGTGGTTTTATTAAAAAAAAACCATCTAACCTATGGTAAGTCTATTTTTTGAGTTTCATTACTTTCTGTATGTTAAGATTTATTGAAATATTGTTTTATTGGCGGATTCCATTAACGTTCCGCTATATTTAAGCAATGTTTGAATATCGCACGTTGTATTTGAAGATTATATTTTGATCGATGTCTTGAAATTTGGTGTTTGAGGTGTAATGATCTCTCTTCGTGTGCATAAAACGATTCATATTACCCCATTAGTATTTTTAAAAACTTTTATTTAACTTGTGATATATGTATGTATATTTGTAAAGGTCAAATTTTACATTTGACATAATTTGAACGTTAAATTTGACCCACTTTCCGGTGTTCGATTGAGCTGAAATTTTGCATACTTATGTTAGTCCGGTGACAATGCAATATTATGTTACCATCGAGCTGATCTGATGATGGAGCCAGGGTGTAGAGACTGGAACTACTTGATGGCAAATGGTAGGACAGTTGAATTTGGGCTAGTATTTTTTTATCATGAGTAATTTCCATTACATATGATGACGAGGGTCTGAAGATGAAGCTAAAAAATTGCCACTGGAACTCCGCTTTTATATCATATTAATTGAGTAATGTAATAAATTGATGAGTTTGATTTGTTTTAAAGTTTATTTTCTTCTTTTTAGAGCATTTAAATTAATACTTGTTTTTAAAAAAGTTTTTTTACTTTGAATTATTATTTTTACAGATCATGCCGCGAGTTTACAAACGTAAAACCACTCGCCAAAATTGGCCTGAGGAACAGTCTTTATTGTTTTTTTAATTATGAAGAAGAGTTTATTTGTTTATTTATATTTTGTTAGTTATATAAACCTTAAAACGTTTGTTACAATTGTTTAACGTTTAATTTTGTTGATTTAGTAGTAAAAAAATGATCTCTAATGTAACTCAAAACTTAAAATATTATGTATAACAAACACGCTTATATATTTTTGTTGCTTTAAACAATAGGTACATATGATTAAAATAAACAGCTGGGTGTTTTATTTTGTTAATATTAAATATTGTAGGGTATAAAATGATCCCTGGGACCATTTTAACCCTTCCCAGGGATCGTTTTGTACAGATAAAACGATCCTTTACCAAACTTTTTTTTAAAATGACGAAACTAATACACCACACACAAACCATCACAAATAAGTATGCAGTTACAAAGATAAGTAAATTTACTATTCTTAACAATTTAAATCTTGTGCTTTTGTCTAAAACTTTGAACACAGTAAAGATTTTCCCTTAAGGGGATCATTTTGCACGCATCTCCCCTATTTAATTTTTGCTGTTATTATTATAATGATTACAATTTTAAAAATATTAATTAGTAATCTATATTTAGTGTTGCCATTATTATATTTATAACCATGAAGAAAAAATATAAAATTTAATATTAATTATTTAAAACACATAATTGTTCTATGTGTAATTTAAAAAGTTAAAATTAATTAAGATGATAATTTTAAATTAGTTTGCTATTATTTAAAAAGACAATTTACTAAGCAACACTATTACAATTTATTTTTACAAATGAAAAATATTAATCTGAAATGTTGTCATTTTGATCCACACAGTAAGAACTTACTACATCTATAACTCGCGTCATTTAAAAAGAACGCTGGCTGTCAAGCTGCGCAGAAGCGATTTATCGGCCAAATTGGTGGTAAGAAGTGGGGCGCGGGGCGGCGGGGCACGCGCCTCATACTTGCCGGCGCGCTATTGGTTCGTCAGTTCGAAATACTATCGCGCACACAAAAGTTTTTAATTACGAAATTTTTTTATATATAGAAAATAGAAAAATTATTTTTGACGTATATTGTTTTACAAAGAGAGAGTCTGATAATAATTCAGTTAATAATTTAAAAAAATGTATTAAACTTATTAATTTAATTTTTTGTAAGTAGATTAAACATTCTACACTGAATCAAACATATTTTAATAATGAATAGAATTCTATTTAATGATATTCTATCTAATATATTTTTAATGTACCTACTAATAACTAATATATGAAGCCGCGAGCGAAATCGTATGAAAAATAAAATAGTAGGCTTAGTACTTTTGTGCGCGAGTATACCCATGCGCAAACATACCCTCTCCACTTTCTTCCAGCGATCTTTTTAGATGACGCGAGTTATACCCGTCTGTTATGTTTAGATTTATTATTTGATTTTATTATATTAATAACAGGATCCAATGACGATGGTAGTACCCAGCCATCTTCCCTATTGAAATTTGGATGTTTTTTAATTTCTATGGCTTCTCGAATCATTCTAGGGCGATATCGGTTTTCTTTCGCCAGGATTTGAGGTCTATCAAAACGAATATAATGGCTTGGGCGGTCCTGGCTATGTTTGCAGACAGCAGATGTTGTATTGCGACGGTGCTTCACATCAGCTAAGTGTTCTTTGACCCGGGTTCTAATGGATCGCTTTGTTTGTCCGATGTAAGAGAGAGAGAA